AGAGAAGACGATCATGTTCTCTGTCAAATTCAGACACAAGAGAAGCCTCAAATCTCATGAGTCTGTGGATTGACACACACACACACACACACACACACACACACACACACACACACACACACACACACAGCGAGGGTTCAGTGAGGCAGTAAGGTATTGGCACTGAGGGAATACAAGGAGCAGACAGTAATTAGGAACCAGCCTACTGTACCATACACACACACACACACATGGTATAAACTATTATGTTCTTGGGCACACACACACACACACACACACACACACACACACACACACACACACACACACACACACACACACACACACACACACAGTGTAATTAGGTAGGGGCCCTGACGCCCCAGCGGTGAACTGAACAAGCCCCTGAATACCCGCAGTGGGAACGGCTGAACACCATAATACGTGGGAAAAGGGCGTGAGCACACACACACACACACACACACACACACACACACACACACACACACACACACACACACACACACACACACACGTTAATTAAGTGGCAGCCTACAGTGTGTGAAGGGAACAAGGCGGCTGGTCGCAGTGGGAGTGTTGGTGGACGGCAGCAGTCAGGATTAACACGAAAAGACCTGCTTCCCTCCTGCCTTTCTCTTCATATATCATCGTGTCCCGCTCTCATTAAGCCACGCAGAAACACACGTCTTCAAGTCTGCCGGCTAATTCTTATCACAGGATGAAAACATCTCGCATCAGCCAGCAGTCTATAATATTACTTTGTGGAATAAACACTTGAAACCAGACATGTGTTGATGAAGCTAGCAGCGTGTTGCTCTGACTGGCTGCTTCGTTTCTATGTTTTATGAAAGTCAAGACATTTATGCAAAAACTTGAATTCAAAGTGAATGAAATGACACTTATAGTATCATGTGCAGAGAGTTAAGATTACAATTACTGAAGTGAAGGACACAGGGGGAAATGTTTTTGTTCAGTTAAATGTGATATTTTAATTGCAATTTAAACTTTAAATCACCGTAATATTCAGTATAATTAAATCAATGAGGCATTTAGAACAATCTAGTTTTTTTAGCATTGGAAGGAGGACCTTGACTCTTTAACTAAGTACTGTAGACTCACTCTAGAAAATAAATACTTCATTACAAGTTATAGTGTTTACATGTTACAAAAGAAAGTATGCAATTGTAGAATCTTAATTTAAAGACTACTTTCACTGTGTTGTGTCGAAGGAAATTGTACTTGAATCTATATTACAGAGAATATTGGTAGCATAGATGATCATATAAACATATCATGTGTTTTTTATGGAGACGTTGACTAGATATAAATGCTGTTAAAGTACAAAGTGCAATACTCCCTCTGAAATGTTCTATATTAGAGGAACCATTATGCAAAAATGGGTTCAGATAAAAAAAGAAAATCAAGAAAATCTTCAATGATAACTTTAATAACTTTGCAAATTGTACTTATAAGCAATTCCAATTATGTTTTGATGCAAATGTATTTGGTTAAGGCTTGCTGTAACATCTCAATCAACACACACACACACACACACACACACACACACACACACACACACACACACACACACACACACACACACACTGAAGTTCATTGCTTCGATCTCTTTCTATCTCTGACATCGCTCTGCTGTCCCTTTCAGACTCTTACACACACACAGCTCAATTTCTGTGTGTGTGTGTGTGTGTGTGTGTGTGTGTGTGTGTGTGTGTGTGTGTGTGTGTACTCACATCATTGCGCTGTTTAGAAATTAGGACAAAGCCATTATTGTCAATCATGTAGCATGCAATATCCTGCGATGACAAAAAAAACAGAGAGCAATTAGTTATATAAAAAAAGATCTGTGTCAAACATAACAAGATGACAGATCATAACAGGCAAAATAGTCATATCATTTACTTTATGAAGTTAAAGCCACATGTGACAACCTTTTAGAGTTTGAATACAAAGACATGATATAGTTCATTCCTTTTTATCTTTAATTCATAATGACTTAATATCAGACAGTTATACTCACAACGCTGTCACACCGAAGAGGACAAATCCCATCTACGTCAGAGCACTGGAGGACAGGCAAGTGAAACTGTTTCAACACTAACAAAGCGATTTAAATATAGGTGGAAGATGTGAAAGTGTAGTTTGTGTTTATGATGATATTTGTGTACGTGGAAACATGATTGAACACATGTGGGGTCTGTCTGTGGACGTGTTATGCGTGAACATATGTCCGTGTCGACAAGTGCATTTGTACTACCTGTCGCTCTTGGTGAGGTGTTCATTTGTGTGTGATACTGTATGTCTACCTGTGATTGGCTCCTGTGTGTCTGATTTGTGTTCTTCTACATCTCTGAATGTCTGTGTGTGTGTATATATTCTGTTTTGGTGTGAAGCTGTCTTCAAAGAGCTAAGCAAGCGCTGTAGATGTTCAATTTGGCTCTGTGCAAAAAGTAAAGTGATGTTTTGATAAATGAGGGGAACTTATGGATACTTACATCTGTGTCATTTGGCTGAGAAGACACCAAGGGAGGAACAACGAGAAATAAAAGAGAACATGAAGAAAAAAGAGAGAAACATTACTTCAGTTAATGATGTGTGAGCCGCTGCATTGACTAGATTGTCTCACTCTGTTGCTGTTAGATTGCTGGGGACAAAGCCATGCATCATCTCAGAGCATAGGCTTTTTAGGAAAAGACAAAAGAAAGCCTTTTTTTTGTTATAATTGAAAATGAGTGAAGATTTGTTTACAATATTTACACATTCTGAAGCAGAAATGTAACACATAAAGTAACGTGCAGTTAGGTGTGTGTCATTAAAAAGGGTTTGTTTACTATATATCAGCCGCTGCAAGTGTGCATCAACACTCTCTGTAAACTTAGCTTACTAACACTTTCCTTCTTCACTGGAAGGGTCATAGTTCAATAGTTCTCCTCATGACTTTATGGTCATCTTATGTCCACAGTGTCTGTCGACTGGCGTCTGTGGACAATGTGTCTTTAGAATCACGGTCAGGCTATATAGAGCGGGTCGAAGTTGCGAATGAGACAATCTATCATCCTTTTCAATCCCATTACAGCAAAGTGTCATTCTTTCTCTCTGCTTCCCATCGCTGCCTCCTGAAATAAACTGCAACTCAGTGAGGGGACTGACAGAGAGGATGATCCTTCCCCACATGCTGTTGGTACCTGATAGCATGGCATGATGAGCGACATCATTTATAGGAAACTATATAATCTGTTCCTGCTAATTACGTAACCAAATAAAGTCTTAAGATGTCCTGCTGAAACCTGTAGGATACAATGTTTATTGGACTTAAGAAGCACATACATGGAACAAGCTGAAACGTTGACTTTCATTAAATGTATTATGTCCAGGGGTGCACATAACTGTTTTGCCCTGGTAGTCAAAGGAGCAGCTGGAGATGTTTCTTGGTGCGCATCCTTAAAATGAAATATACCGGACTTTTTGAGGGGTACTTGACTTTATGAACGGGGGGGGGTGGGGGGGGAGGTGCGCTAGTGAGCACGCTCATGAACTGTTCACCTCGCAGCAGGGTCTGTGCGGAGCGAATAAAGCAGACCCTTCACGCGATAGCGAGGGGTAGAGCGAGGGATCGCAGATGCCCTCGTGCACGCGGACGGATTAAAAAAATTAAACCTAAATGGCTCGCGAATTATACTTTGGCGGCCTTTAATATACCAGTTATGTGCAGCCCTGATTATGTCAACAGATTTCACATAACTGTATTAGGTTAGTTTAAAGTAATAATATTAAGTTTAAATAAAAAAATATATTATTGCTTTCAACTAACCTTATACAGTCATGTGATATTTGTTGACATAATACACTTACTTAAAGTGAACGTTTCAATTTTTCAGTGTACTTGAGATTGTATATTCCTGTAGCTTTAGTCAAAAATGAGACCACAAATTGAAATGTTATCCTGACTGGTGGCACTGGTTAATTGTACATTTGTTGAAAAAATACACAGATAATCGGCCCATTATTAGATCATTCATTTCAGAGTGCATGATTGCTATTTTTAATTTGTTGTGTCGGATGTGTGAAATCTTCAGGGGGCCATGAATGTGCACATGAAATGTATGGAAAATTATATTAGGATATTTTTGATGTACAAAAGAGTGTTGTCCTTATGGTGGCGCTAGAGAAACAGTCAGGTAATCACAAGACTTGAAGAAGACATATAAACTGTCTTCACCATCCGCAGTCACTCTACGCATAAATGAAAATACAGAAAACTGCCAATTTGTTCAACTTGGCTAACTGCCTCGGACCCTCTCTTTGTTCTGATGTACGTTATCCACTCCATTAGCGGCCATGTCTCTCTCAGCCTCCTAACGTTTAACACCACAGATTTCTAAATCTGGGCAGCATGTAAGAGGCTGTTTCCCTGGTTGGTAAACGTGTCTCATATGAAAGCTCCAGGTGGAGTGAAGGTGAAAGTGAGAGCATCAATTATCACTCTTATTCTCTGAAACTCGTTCTCACCGCAGTAGATGATACCGCTCTCTGCTCCAGCAACACACACTTGAATTCAAAGTAAGCAACACACTTCAGTATTATAACCATGGCGTTATAAACTGAGCTTGGCTATGCTATGAAGCCTGATGCATAAATATACTGTTTCCTTACAAGCTGCTCCATTTCTAAGTATACATAAAACATTTTTATCTTGTTTGCAAAAGGCGAGTTCTGTTTCTGGGATTGCACTAATTACACATGTACCTTCATAACTGATTTGAAACACTGCTGTGCTGTTATCACGCATACACAGAAACAGTATTGTAGTTGCAAATGTGGGACTATAGACATAGGGAGACCAGCTGAGTCTTGTCCACGAGATAAAGAGCATGCCAAGATGCGAATGGCAACAAATCTGTCATTTTTTATTCTCATTACTTTCGCCTCACAGCCCCTCACTGCGTCTCCGCCCGCTGTCAGACATAATATAACAGCAATGGACTGTAAGAGATGGATCCTTGCTCCGTGCTATTCACACTGTACATTTTAATGTGATATATCTGTAAGAAAGGGCAGATATAACAAAGGGAGGAACAGCCAGTGTTGTAAGGCAATTATTTTTTACTCCTTTGTATTTATACTTGTTCTTATATTGACATTTACAAAACATTTGCAACTTTAAAACACCATGGCAGAAGACACACACACACACACACACACACACACACACACACACACACACACACACACACACACACACACACACACACACACACACGGAGACAGTATACCCAGCAGTGTGCTGTACAGAGCCATCAGAAATGTTTTCTATTCACATTCTGACAGATTCCTATTAGATGGAAGCTATTGCCTTATACTTACCCCCACTAATTCATTATGTATGACCTAATAACATCTTATTGGAAGCTGCTCAAACTTGATACTGTAGCTACAGTATAAGGTCAGATGTAATTTCCCTCACTTATGTAACTCTTCCCCTGCGATCTGAGAACACATGCCTGCATTACTAATACTTACAGTGATCATTTCTCTAAAACACATAAAGATTAAGCTCATTTGATTTTGTTAGTAATTAAAGTAGGGATGTATTGGATTAGATTTTTCTCTGATATGTGATATGCCTATATTTTCTAACTAATTTAGCAAATTACCAATGCCAATAACAATATTAGCTTTTTCCCCACCTAAATGAAGAGAATATCAAGTATTTCCTGCAGTATAATTAACATAATATTATGAATACTCTTAATTTGTACATAGGCTTTGCAGGGTTTTCCTGAAACTCCATTATATCATTATATAAATATAATTATTATTATATTAACTGAAATTGAAAGTGTCATCTTATTTTTCAGAAATGTTCATTTCTTTCAGATACCAATATTTTCTTAAGCCTTTATAGGCCCCTACCAAGTGCCGATATCATTGTGCAATCTTAACTAAAGCAAATAAATCCATATTTCTTAATGAATGCACTAGTCATATCTTACATATTCACACAATAAACGTAATTATTACAATGTTTTTGACACTTTTACTGCTACAAAATGCATGGGCAGCATGGGTGAAGATCCAAAGATTACAAGTAATATAAGTGTCATGAGCCACAACAGGACACCGTGTTTTGAAGACGTCCTTTAATGTATGACTCTGTTGCCATGTAACCAGTTGTTGTACTTCCTCCTGAATATGTATTTCATTCAGGATTTTACAGTAGGTGCAGCATGTTCACCCCTGAGGGAGCCTAACACTTAAAATAGAGCACAGAGAGGGTTTCACACAAACACACATGCATGGTTAGACACACATGAACACACACAGTCATGACAAGCATAGGCTGTGAATGAAGGCACACACAATCCCCTATGAAATAAAGATGTGTGCCGGTGAATACATGTCAGGAAGATAAGATGATTACGTAAGATATCTTAGGGCTGAGGGTTGAGGAGATGAGGAAGAAGGAGGGACTATAGGAGATGAACAAAGGGGGTGGAGCATTAAGGGAAAGAAGAATATCGAGAAGAATTGAGAAGAAAAACGGGACATAAGAGGATAGAATATTGAGAATTGAGGGAAGAGAGGAGAAAGACAAAGGGGCAGACAGTAAATTAGTGTGGGGATGACTTTCTCCACAGCATACATCTTGTGGATAACAAGGCCACTGCTAATGCTGCTAATGAGTTCCTGGTAGATGAATGTGGACACAACAACACACTTGTGCACAGATGGTCTTGCATATGGTCCTTGTCAACATGACACACATTAACATTAACAGACACATATACGATACTCTCCCCTTCACACCTCCACACACACGTTCTGAGCATGGCTTTGGTGGCTATCCATCATTTAGTGGCCGGCCAGAAGCCCTAATGCTCTTTTAACTGCCGCCATTTACAGTCATTGGAGCAGAGCCGGGGAACTGCCAAGACATCAAACACCTGCTACAGCAAAGGTGTTATGCCAAATTTAGCAACTTGTCCTCAAGAAAATGTTTCTTGAAGGTGTTGAAGAACCCAGGGGATACTAAGATCCTACACTGAAACCAGTCTGATGAAAATATCCAAGAAGCAGATAAATATCACCTGTAACAATTCGAATAAGGACATTTAAATCTAAAGAGAATGTTGGGGGTTTCCCTTCCCTGTAGTGTGTTATATACACTATATAGACAGTTTGTGAAATGTCTTCTCTCCTATTCCACGGTCCAAGTGGTATTATTGCAGACCACGTAAAGTTACAGAGCGGGGGG